AAACAGCAAGTTTCGTGTGTATGCAATCCACCTTGCTTAATTTGATTCTTACTAGGTTTCAGAATCATGGCGACTGATGGAACTGGGTGAGTTGAGAAAAATTCTTCCACTTCGTCCGCCATCTCATTGCTTCTAAACTGGAAATATTACAGGACAAGAAAAATTATTTAGATTTCTGATTTAGTTCTCGGTTCATGAAGATTATGTTGGGAAAAGCGGGTAATTTGTGTGTAGATAAACATATCAACTAATAAATATAAATAACATAATTCAATAATTGCATAAACATAATAATATTATAATAATATAAACATTATAATTCAACAATAAGAAGAGAAGAGATAGAAATGCAAGTGTTAGACACGACCATAGGAAGATAAATGAACGAGCATCTCATCGAATTGTCAAAATAGTATAGTATAAAATTGTAGAGAGAATAATACTTCAACTTGTTGTATTTTTCAATGAGATATAACCACATCTTATGGGTGAATATCAACTCCCGCAATTAAATCGTTAAAATATAAGTTACAATATGTATTATGATATTTTAATGTTATGTTAAAATTCAAAATTAAAAGATTTTAATTTGAAAGGTTAAAACTTTGATTCTTAAGTTACAACAATTCTCCACAAGTTTTAAACTTTTAAAATAAATAACTATATATAATATATAGTGACAACGTTATACTATGTTATACGTGTAGGTATCTTTTGGAATTGAACATCGCTTAGTAATAAAAAATTTCATTTGAAAGAGTCATAATGAACTAAGCCTTGAATTAAGTCCCTTAGGTTAAACTTCGATTGTTCTATACGCAGTATCAATTTAGGCTCTAGTTCATAGCTGATAGTGTTCTTAATGTCCATATGCTCTAATTTTGATTCTAGTAATAGTCTCTAGGAAATAGCCCAATCCTATAGACACGGTCTCATGGCAATTCTTACATAGGTGAGTCCTCCAAAGGTGTGTGTGATTTACACCTCGCAAGAATTGTCACCTCGATTCTCATTTAGGGTTAATCCCTTCCTAATATCACATCATTATTAGCACCATCATCATAGGGATGAGCACAAATGAAATAGTGCTATTACTAGTCATGCAATATGGATTGTTTATGCCAAATCAAACCTTTTCCATGTGATCTCCAATCGCAAAGGTTGGGTTATTCGCATATGTGACTTCCTTAGAGCTTAAATCCATCATACTTGATGATTTATTATGTCCATTACGGATTTTAAATTATTTTGTCTTTCTTGGACAATAATTTGATATCATTAATTTGCAAAGCTTTTATTCTTCACCTACATATGTTTGAGAAGATGCCTCCATTCAACTCATGTATTTTCCCTGAAATCTTTAGATTCAAGCTGAACACTTTTCTCAGAACGTTAATTTCATGATAATTATGAATAATCATGAATAAAGTGCATATATTCAAAAAAATTTAACACCCCCACTTTCCAAGGATTTTAAGCACTCCCATTTGGACAACATAATTGAACACAGTGATACTCATGTGTCGCAAAATATTAGACAATAAGAATTAATATAACTATAGAGTATCGAATATGGTTTAACAATATTAATCTAAGCAAACATGCCTTCATTCCAAATAAAAAATAAAAGATAAATGTAGAGAGAGAGAGAAGAAAATATTAATCTCCCATCATGGCATGTTTGTTGAAATCACGTTCCTAATCAGATATGAAATTTTTCGAATGAAGATCTCGTATATCACATTATAATTTTTTGATAAGCATGTAAGTTTTCTTTCTACTATTTATAATGATATTCTCTAGCAATAATAAAAATTACTCGACATACACTATCCAAGTGCCTATCAAATTATAATTTTTTGGTAAGCACGTAAGCTTTCTTTCTTCTATTTGTAATCGATATTTCGAGCAAGATTACTTTATCGTTATATTTTTTATGTCAATGATATCATTATAATGCATAAAAGAACTTTATACATAGTGAGTTTGTTATAGAGGAAGCACCTGGGGAAAGAAGGGCAAAAGGAGCAAAGGAGGAAGAGGAAACTAAGTAAAATCAAAATCAGACAGAAAGAAGGAAGAAGGAAATGGAACTGGATTACCTAACGATTGAACTGAGAAAACGGTCTCGTATCAATTAAGAAAAACAGTGTCATTTACTTGTAGTTAAAATATCATATTTTGTAAATCGTTTTTGCAATTTTGTTTGGCCAAAACATGCTTCCTCACACACTTTCTACTGGTGTATATATCTCCATATATTCTGGTAAAAAAGGAACAAATATTGTTCTGTAAATTCTCTTAGTAATGAATTGATTCTCCAATTCAATTCAATTCACCTCTCATCTCTTCTCATTTTATCATTATTTTCTCCCACCCCAATTTCTATTTTTCTTCGTTGTTTCAGCTATTATTCAGCTGGCTTCCATTGGTAAAAGTTCCGGAGAGTTACGGTTAAGGAAGAGCTAAAATTTGGAGTACAAGTCGTGACAAATTGGTATCAGAGCAGTCGAATATTACTGGGCAAGCGTTAGAATACACGGTCGATAGTAGTTGATGAACATTTGAAGAAATTAGATCTCGAAGTAACTGATTTGGGTACATCTTTTAAAGATGTTACCAACAGGCTTGAGAACAAGCTTGACTCCACAGAGCAATCCCTTCAAGTACTGGGCCAAAGACAAGAAAAAATAGAGGATGCAGTGCTGGATTTGAACCAAAAATACGAAAAGGTTGTTGCATTTATGGCTCAAATCTCTGTTGACTTGAAAACCAATCAGAAAGACAAAGGGATAGAGGAACCTATAGGGGGTTTGAAGTCTGTAAGTGTGACTCATACACCAGGCAGTAGTAGCAATGAGGCTAGTATCATCACCAGAGGTGAGTTAAAAGGGAATGCAAGGTTACCCAAGATTGATTTTCCTCATTTTGAGGGAGAAAATCCAAGAGAATGGCTG